TATAAATCATTTACTCAAAATCTTGAAGCATAATAATCAATTTATTTAAATCAAAACCTTACCTCATTTCAAAATCAAAACCCATGAACTCATGGTTTTTTTCTAAAATTCTTTTTCAAAATTAAATGTACAATGAAATTACATGTAATTCATGAAGCTTAATTTAATTATAACTCTCAAAATCAAATCCAAAATAAGGAATTTCTAAATTAACTTTCATAAACTTGAATCTAATTCAATTTCTTCATCCTTTTACTAATTCCTTTCAATTTACATGAAATTGATTTCCAACTCTTTTCTATTTCCTTTAAATCATGAAATTGAAGTTACAAAACTCTTAGAAAAGTATTTGCATGTATGAAATTAAGATCAAAACTAATTAATTTTATATATTCAAATCATAATTTACTTCCTGAATTGCTCTAATTTAGTTTTTTTTTATTAATTTTCTTTATATCAAACCCAAATTTAAACTCATAAGTCTTTTAAACATGAATTAAAATCAAAAACCTTGAAATCCAAGATGCATGTAAGGATGAGTTTTAAATTTATAAAGAATAACAAAAATCAAACTCAAATTAACTAATTTCCAAATTTATTTCCATAATCTTAAACTTAACTCCATTTTCTTCAGCTTCTTGCTAATTCCTTTTAATCATGTGATTTTGATTCCAATTTCATCTTTAATTTCAAGTGTAATGTGAAGATTCTACACAAATTAAACATCAATTTCATACCTTAAGTTTTAATTTCAGAAAATTTAGTTGATTTCTTCCTTAATAAAATCTCAATTTTACTAATCTAAATCGAATTTTTAATTGAACACCCATGTGGTCTGATATTCGAAATAAAAATAATTCAATTCACCAATTATATTCTCTTGAGCCATTTAGGCTTTAAATTTCTAATTCCAAAATAAATCATTAATAGAATCATATATGAATCAGCCTCCACAATTTCCATAAATCCTAAATTAAATAAGAATAATGGGCAATTAAAATTCAAATCTCCATAATTAATTAAATGCTAATCATTATATATGATGGGGGTCATTACAAGAAGTGTGAATGCTCTTGGAACTGGTCAGTCAGCCGCTAATCATAGAGTTCCCCATGCTCCTATTCCTTCTTCAGTAGCGCCAACTACTGCTCTAGTTGTGGGCACTATTCCCCCTACTACACCATATATTGCTTCAGTTGCCTCTAAAGCACCAGGAGTTGTTCCTGCTGCACCAGCCACACATGTTTTACAGTCTTGCTGGAATTACTGAACAATCATATAGCCTCATAACCAGCAGTTCCACCAGCCTTAAGTTTGGATAAAGGTTCCTTATTTGTAAGGTTTATGAAGGCAAAACCTCTAGAATTTCATGGAGCAATGGACCCTACAGAGGTAGAGGCATGGGTACTACAGATGGAGAAAATATTTGATGTTCTAGGTTGTTCAGCAGACCAAAAGGTGGCCATTGTAGCTTTTAGGTTCAAGGGTCAACACAGAGCATTGGTGGCGCATGGTGAAGAGTCAATATGAGGGTAGAGAAGCAGAGCTAGTGTGGAACAAGTTTCTGGAACTGTTTAATGAGAAATACTTCCCTGAAGTAGTGTGGAGGTAGAAACAAGTGAAGTTTCTCAAGTTGAAGTAGAATAACAAGACGGTGGCTCAATATGAAGCCAAGTTTGCAGAATTGTCGAGGTATGCTCCACATCAGGTAGCTACAGAAGAAGATAAAGTGATGCTGTTTGAGAATGGCTTGCAGTCAGAGATTCATGCAAAGGTAGCTATTTTAGAGATGAAGACATATTTTGTCACGCCACAATTTTTAATTACTAGGAAACATTACCAAAGCCTGTAATTTAGGTCTATTTTTTTTAATAGATATATACAAATATCTATTACACTTGAGTACTAGAAATACAATAATACATGTTCTCTCTCTCTCTCAATGAATATTACTATGACAACAATACATGTCAATCTCCTACTGTACTACAAATAAATAAATACAAATACAAAATCCATTTCTTTTTCATCTACTATGAAATTACATATAAAAAAAAAAAAAAAAAAAAAAACATAGACTTCTTAACTCTTCAATCACAAAATCCACACCATCTTCCTGTAAAAGATAAAACAACAACGGCGTGAGCACTAATGCCCAGTAGGAATCAATAACTAACACACAGATAGAAATGTAATTCTTGAAGGATTTGATTTAGAAGAAAGGCTTGGTGAAAATTGTCAAGAAGAAAGTTCCCCTGATCGACAATAACATTATTGAACTAGTAATTAGGGGGAAAAAAAAAATTTCTAAATTGTGTTTTGTATGATTTGATTCTCACTTGATGCCAAAATTTCAAATATTTTAATGCAACATTCTTTTGATTGTTTGGCAAGCATTAGGGAAGCATGGCATTTTATGCATAGAAGACATTGTATATGAGGTTACTTTTGGCATATCCATTAATTTTTTATTGTTGTTTTTAAATGACAAAAAAATGAGTAAGCTTATTCATAGGCTTTTAGCTGTCTCTGAACTAATTTGTGTTCTTTTTATTTAGGTCAGAAAATTGCTTGGAGAGATGCAAAATATGATCAAAGAAGACAGAAATTTAAGGATTTTGAGTTTTCCTTTAGTTTTTTTTATATTTTTAATTTTTTCATTAGATTTTTATTGTGTATACAGTGAAAAAACATTTTATTCCTTAACTTTTATTGTACATATTTTTTCAACATTCAACTTTCACTTATAAAATATATGAGGTTATTACTTATTCATATGTGGTTAGCGTTATGATTCAAAGGAAATTTTTGTACAAATAATATCGATTATATTTTAGATATTAGTACTGTTCAGATTTTAATCACTGTTTATATGCTGTGATTGATAGTCATATTTTGTGGTTGAACTTTTTTTTTATCACATGCACTAATCGTGATAAACAAATGCATATAACTGTGATCTTATCTAATTGTTAATCATAAATTATTTAAGTTCAATCTCAAGTTTTATTAGTTATTAATCACACTTAAAATCTATGATCTAAATGTTTTTTTTTTTTATCATGGTCAAAATATGTGACAAAATTATCTTTTAATGACGGTCAAAAAGTGTGATCGAAAATGACCCTTAATCTTAAAGATCACACCTTGACAAATTAAAAAATTCATGATTAAATAACATATATCACACTTAAAATCCATGATCTATTTATAATTTTGTAGTAGTGTTTTATGTTACATAAATAAAATTTTGTTAGATCACTTACGTGAGTTTGTGAATTCTTATGCATTTTTGTGAAATTAGTCAATTTGTATGAGATAAGTCAAGCAAATTTTTTCTGGAATGACTTATGTGACTTTGTGAAAACATACGCATTTCAGTAAACTAAAAATTTTCTCAAACAACTTACAAAAAATTCAGTTCATTTATGCTTTTTTTTAGATCGCTTACGAGTGTTTGTGAAAACTCACGCAATTTTGTGAAATTCAAAATTTTTATGGGTACAAACTTACGCGAATTTTCTGGGAATCACTTGCATGAATTGTGAAAATTTACTCACTTTTGTAAAATCAAAGTTTTCTCCAATGACTTACTCGTAAAGGTGTTCACTTACGCATTTTTGTGTTCTTCAAAATTTTCAGGAACAAACTTACATGATTTTTGTGTTAACTTACGCATTTTTTATGAAATCACTTCTGTGAGTCGTGAAAACATACTCATTTTTGTGAAATCAAAGATTTATCCAACGACTAGGATATATTTGTCTTCACTTACGTATTTATATAAAATCACTTACGTCAGTTGTGAAAACATACGCATTTTTGTGTTGTTGAAAATTTGTAGGAACAAACTTACACTTCATTTTGTGTTAACTCCCTTGAGTTTTGTGACACACAACTTACGTGACTTTGTGAAAACTTACGCAAATTTGTGAAATAAAAGTGTTCTTCAAGGACTTACTCATGTTAGTGATCATTTACGCATTTTTGTGAAATCATTTACGTCAGTTATGAAAACTTATGCATTTTTGTATTGTTGAAAATTTTTAGGAATAAACTTACGTGAATTTTGTGTTAACTACCCTGAGTTTTGTAACACAACTTACGCGACTTTGTGAAAACTTACGCAAATTTGTGAAATAAAAGTGTTCTCCAAGGACTTACTCGTATTTGTAATCACTTACGCATTTTTTTGGGAAATCACTTACATCAATTGTGAAAACTTACACATTTTTGTGTTGTTGAAATTTTTTTGAAACAAACTTACGCATCATTTTGTGTTAACTATTCTAAGTTTTATGACATAACTTACGTGATTTTGTGAAAACTTATGCAAATTTGTAAAATAAAAGTATTCTTCAAGGATTTACTCCACTACAACAAAATACACATTTGGCAACTAAATTTTTAGTCGCCAAAAGTACAATTTTTAGTCGCCAAATGATTTGCCCTACTAAATATTTTGGTCGCTAGACTGGTCGCGGACAACTTGTCGGGGAAGGTATTGGCGACTAAATTTTTTTTGGTCTCCAAAAGTCCTATAAATGGTGACTAATTTTTTTAGTCGCCTAAAATAAAATTTAGTCACCAAAAATCTTATTTTCTGCTGCTAAAACTTTGGTCGCCAAAGCTTGAAGTATCTATGGCGACCAACGTTTTAGTCGCCAAAGGGTTTTTTCCATCTTTTTATTTTTTTCATTTTTTTTTAGCTACAAAATTCTTAGTCGCCTAAAGTCTACTTTTATTTTAGCTACTAAATATTTAGTAGCCAAAAGTTTTTCTCCATTTTATTTTTATTTTTAACTACCAAATATTTAGTAGCCAAAAGTTTTTTCCCATTTTATAAATAAAATTATCTATATACTGATAAAATTAGCAACCATTCCACAACACACTCACATTTCACTTTCAATCATAAAAAAAAAAAAAAAATCATATTTAACATCAAATTAATATTTCCAAAAAAAATTCTATACAAATCAAGTATAATCCAATCTCAAAAATATAATTCCATACATAACAGAGGATTAAACAAAATTAATATCTAATTGTTAAAATTTGGAAACATAAGGAAACGATGGCTCCGAGGAGGTCCCAACATGCATAAATTTGAAGTGTCTTAATGCAGTCTCATTAGTATAAATTGTCACAGGATATTCATGAATAGCAGATGCAAATAGTCTACACAAAAATGTCTTAACATGTAGCAATTCAAGTCTATATTTCTCAATTCAATCTCTGCTCAGATTCATATAAGGCTAGACTCGGCTCTCAGCAAGTCAAAATAAAGAACTGAGAGTAAGCACAATTGCTGTCAAAACAATCTGATATCTTTAAAATGACCAGCTTCTTCCACTAATAATTCACTGACAACCATATGGAGACCCATATCCAAGAGGTGGTGATCCAGCATTGTTCTTGAACTGAGTAGGTTGTGGTCTTGGTCTAGCCTACTCTGCGAATATAACCCATCCACCCAAAAACTACACAATCAACAAGACAAAAACTCATCATTCTCAATACCCAATAAATTAATCATCAATATCATAACAATAAGTAGCTGAAGGAGCCCCGTGGCATAGAAAATGCATATAGTATTGTGCTGGTGATATGGGAAAAACAAGAGTAATTTTGAATGTCATGAATTGTCAAGGCCACTAAATCACACAAAGTGAACAATAATCAACATCTAATAAAAGTGTACACGTCTTCCGTGTTCCTGCCACTAGAAGATCACTCATTTCAAGGGTATTATCAAAACACAACGTGAACAATGACCACTATCTAGTAAAGGTATATAGTTCTTCCCTTTTGTGTTCTTGCTAAGGCCATCAGAAGGTGTAGTTGACCATTGACATTTGTCATTTACATAAGAAAAGTTTAACATTCAATATCCATACAAGTAATTTAAACTTTACACAGCACAACCTAAGGTACATTGTCTTCTACATAGGAAACTCAAAATCCATACAGATTATTCAAGCTTTAAACAGCACAGCCTAAAAAACAATCAATTCACAAAACTCAACATGCCAGAAGTCATCATAAGAAATAAAAATACTAGAACTCAAATAATTCTACCATATACATATATATATATATTCTAAACCACTTTGAGAAACAGTAGAACTTTGTTAGCACGCTCGCTATCCAACATTTTAACATAAGTAATTTGTGCCATAAGATACTTCGTAATAAATTTTGAGCACTTGATGTTCTTCTTGTGCTTCACTTTCTTATGAGGAATCAAACAAGTAACTCCACAGTCAGAAACATGGGATTCATTTTCATAGTTGAATATGAATTCTTGTTTGAGCACAATGGTGTGTCTCAAGACCCAAAGGTTTCTTCCTAATATTGTTAATGAATTGGAATTTTCAAAAAATAAAAATAAAAAACAGCAGGGAATGGGGGGCATTCTTGTTAAAGGGAAACCCATTTCCTTAACAATAATCCTGACACATAATTCCAAACCATCATTTTCCAGCTACTTTTGTCTGTGCAAGGGTGTTTTTATGTGCATGAAGTATTTGGGCTAAAGTCACCTAACCTTGCCATCCATGCCCTTTATACCTTCTGCAGAGTCTTCTACTGTGGCATATTTTACGAAACCAAATCCAATGTCTTTGAAAGAGTGCTGCAGCAGAAATTGACAGTCTAAAAATAATAATAATTTGAATACAATTTTGTAAAGCACAATATATAATTTGAACACAAAATATTTACTTGTTAGAAACGGAAGGTCGTTTTTCCTAACAAGTGTTTAGATGACAGTGTTATGTCATCAAAAGATTTTTCCAACACAACTTCACGACCATGACCCCAAATAAACATAATCTCACCCACAGCATCCCATCCATTATTATATATATACTGTGTCACATGTTTGAGGCAAACTAAACATGATGTAGTAAAGTATATATGAAGCGACAATTACTCTCAAACATTAATCTTTTTGTGCAGCAATCTACTACATACTTCTAATAAAAGACTTGATTTCAGAAGGCCCAAAAAAATCAGAGAAACAATTTCAATGGGCACAAGATGAAGGAAAACGGAAGATAGAAAAATCAAGAATGAAAAATGCTATAACAAGAGATTCTTAGCCAATTATCACACTTGTAATCCCAGAGTTAAACCGGGCTCGATTCAAGCATGGGACCATTTAATAAGCATACCTTCTGTTTCAATTGGCTTGCCAAAAAAGTAATAGAAATGGCCTGGAAATTTTGGTAGAATTAGTGGATAGTGAAAATCTTGTTTTGCAACCTCTCCATCAAAGTTTCTCCTGTAATGATAAGACCAAAAGAGAGATTGAAAGAAAGAATCCCTCAGTGAAAAAGAAAACACCCACTATTGCAATTTTAAGTTCAAACTCATACAGTTTCTAGATGGCTGAAACTTGAAAGAAGAAAAGGACATGTATCTGGTTCACTATGCGAGAATAATTTGAATGGAAAATTAACAGCACACTAAAGCAAGTGGCAAAGGTAGAATGGAAATAAAGAGAAAAAAGCAAATTAAACCTGAAATTGAACTCAGCGTATAAGGCAAGCCAGGAAGGAACTGCTTAGGCATGATTTGTAATAAGTGTAGTAGAGGTTGCAGCTGAGACTTGTTAAAACATGTAGCTGCCAAGAAAACATTATCCAAAAAGGACTAAAACGTTAAGAAATCATGGAATGTCCACGATCCCATCAACATGATTAATAGCAAGAAACAAGCTTCCCACCTGGGTTTGACAAAATCAATATCAGGATTATGAGCAGCAACTGCAAGTGCAAGGCATCCTCGAAGAGATTATGTCCACGATCCCATCAAAACATTTAGTGTTCATAGTTTCAAGTATGACACATTGTTGTGTATATTAAGTTTAATTGTCAACTTCACCTTAAGAATTTAGACAAGAATTAAATACACTTGAGTTCCACTTCAGTTCCATGTGATCCACGTGAGATTCATGAGGGCTTCACATGATCAAAGAAAGTTATTTGATATTGACATGTATTTTTTGCATCCAAATCGCTAACAACAATTAACAGTTGGACCTAATTGAAACCAATTAAAAAATATGAAGTTCAATACATTACAATTAAAACTATAAGGACCAAAGTAAAATCCACTCCAAACTATGGGAGCACAAAAATGTAAATATCCAGTTCCCAATGGATGTCCAGATGCACCTGAATTTGGCCACTTTTTTATGACTGCATTATTAAGAGGGACAGAAACCTGTAAATGGTGTTCGATCCATAATGGGAATATGTAAGCACCATCTATCAAAAATCCTTCATATAAGAAAAAATATATATGACAGCAGGTAGGTGTTATTGTTATGCCACCAAATTGTGGCAAACCTGCCTATAATTTTTAGTCCTGTGTTTTCTGCAGATTTTTTTTCTTCCTCTTAAGCAATGGGAAGTTCAGCTGTCCAAGTTGTTTATTGTGATGTACCAATTGAAGTCTTATAATAACTAGGACCAAATACAATCAAAATCTTACAGTTCAATTATTCAACATATCATTTTATTATTCAACAAACCCAAGGTAGGTAGGTAACTGCCCCAGTGGCCACTCCCAAATGTAAAAACATAAGAACAACTTCGTACAGGGGAAGCTACAATGCATAGAGTTATTGTATCCTAATTAAATACTCCTTTGAGTGTAAGCACATTAAGAACTTGAAAACTCAACTGGTTTCCATTTTCCAGCATAACAGTCGCAAACCATCAACTGTCTATTTCTGACCAAATTAATTTTGTCCAGGATTATCAATGTAAAAAAGCTCAGTAAATAAGGAGGCTATATTGGTTTGACAGCAAGTCAATGTTGATCAGCATGACTGATGAGATTCTCAACATAGAAAAAGGAAAGATCCAAAACTCCTGAGTTGTAGATCAATGACAATGATGAAGAAGACAATTCACAAATTCCTTATCAAACTTAAGTATCTTGCATCTATATAAATCATTGCAGAAATCAGCCTTACTTTGATGACTGTCACATTCTTGGAGAACAAACAGAGCAGTGTAACTAGGAGGTCCATAATAAGTAATACTTTTTTTTTCCCTTTCTTTATTATTCAAATTCATACATCTCTGTGAAGGTAAATACTTACACACAGTTAAGCCCTCAAATTCAAATTCAGAAAACAAAAAGGAGGATGAGATTACACAGTGACTCAAGCTTTTGTTATGCATAAAAAACTCAAAATCATTCAATCATGAGCACGAATAGCTATTAGGATCACAAAAATCACTACCCCCACCAAATCAAAGCAAGGCCATTTTTTTATAATAAAAAAACAAATCAAATTGAAACCCATTTGCTTAAATTGAGTAGGATTTGAAATATAAAACTCAAAAAATAATAAAAAAGTTAAAACCCATATGTAGAATACAGAGCAAATTTCAATCCTATCAAGCGAAGAGGACTTCACGGAATTGAGTCCTAAAATTTTCCATTAACTTACCTACTAATAATATTCTTAAATTGTTCAGTACCTTAAATCAATTGCTATCTACCTAATAAAACCCTAGATCCGAGATGGTGAAATGGGGAAATAGAGGAAGAGAGAGAGAGAGAGAGAAACCTGAATATGGCTGGGAGGGGGGCCGCGATGGTGAGCGGCGGTAGCGAGAGCAGCGATGTCGGTGGTGGAAGTTCGATGGTAACTGTTAGCAGGGATGGTGAGGGTGAATATATTTTTGGTCGTGGGTCTGTGTGTGTGAGAGACAGAACAGAGTCTAAATAGATCGGGCGCCAAAAATAATTTGTTTCCCTCTCAAGCAAAACTTTCAACCTTTCGTGACTAAATATATTTTTGGTCGCCAAATAACAATAAAATTCATTTTTGGCAACTAAAATTTTGGTCGCCAAAAGTAAAAAGATAATTTTTTAATTTTTAATCGGCGACTAAATGGTTTAGTAGCCAAAAGTCAACATACATCAACTAAGATTCTTTTTTGTTGCTGAAAATAAACGTTTGGCGACCAAAATTTTGGTCGCCAAAGGTAAAAAATTAATTTTTTATTTTTCTTTTGGTGACAAAATGATTTTAGTAGCCAAAACTTAATATACAACGACTAAAAAATTTTTTAGTTGCCAATTCTAGCATTTTTAGCAACAAAAATTTTTTTTAGTCGCCAAAAACCAATATGCCCCGACTAAAAAAATTTAGTAGCTAAATATTTTACTTTTGGCGACTAAAAAAATTAGTTGGTCGCCAATTTCATAACTTTTGGCGATGAAATTTTTTTTTGTCGCTAATTTTGGTCGCCGAATGTGTATTTTGTTGTAGTGCTCGTATTTGTAATTACTTACGCATTTTTGTGAAATCACTTACGTTTGAAAACTTATGCATTTTTGTTTTGTCATGCCCCACTTTTTATTACTCGAAATCATTACCAAATCCATTAATTCACTTCAAGTTCAGAGACAACATACGGAAATAAACTCAAATATTCGACTAGTAGAATTAAATAGTAATTCTCTCATTCGAATGCAAATTACATACAACATGAGTATTCTAAATAAATTGCCTGTAGGCTTGCAATCATTAAAGAATTAAAAGAATGGTGTAACCCTTTTACAACAATGGCACTATGCCAACACAAAAGAGGCCCCGTGGCCAACAAATAAGAAGATCCAAATCTCGTAGTACATCCTGACTATTGCCTGAAAAAGATTCAACAACGTGGAATGAACATATAGTCCAGTAAGGATCTCAACATGATCCTCAACAATAACAACTTACAGATAGCTATGATCATGAATGCTCAATCTCATACTAGAATACTAATGTGGCAGTTTATACAAAAATATACATAAGTATGAACTTTTCTCAAAAACAGCCATTTCATTCAACACTAAAAGCGATTCATCTTTCTTTTCTTTTCATTACCCCTTTTTCCAACTTTTATGATAAAAACAATTCTAGAAAATAGTTTCACCAAGTCCCTTACCCTTCTCCCAATTTGCATACTTACAATAGATTTTCCCTTTTGCAAACATACTTTCAAATACCCAATTTTCCTTCACATTATTCCAAAATTTCTAAATGACATTTTGGTTTGTTCCCAATACATTCATATCTATACTTGCATGCCTTTAATAAAAGGGAGATAACCAATCATCAACATATATATATTCAACAAATGAGGCAACTTGGCTCTCCAAAACTGTAACCATCGCAATCCATGATATACTCAGATACACTGAGACAATAACAATAAAACTCTGTTCTATCGGCTAAGTCAGTTCTCCAGGCGCTAGCTGGAAGGTGGCGGTACCTCTGATTATAAGCGCAGTCAGTTCTCCAGGCGCTAGCTGGAAGGTAACGGTACCTCTGATTATAAGCGTAGTGTATAATACCAATAACCACAATACAACAGAGCATAACCAGCAAGTGTAATGCACACACATAAACTATCAAGATACATAAGCAATATGTTAAAGTATATGAACACATAGGTGTGTGGAGTACATCCCCTATCTCCTCCCACACACTGGAGTACATCACATATCTCCTCCCTAGCAATTATACATATATAATGTATATTTTTGTGTAAACTGCCCTATCAACACCGGTGTAATGCAAACACAACAATTCAATACAACAATGTCATCCTCCACCGATGACCAAGGACAAAACCTCTAGATGCATGTATTCAATACACCTATTAGAAGACTCAACTATCATGAGATCTTAAACCCAACAACAACGCTAGTATGATAGGAAAAGGTAAAACCCCAAATGTGGGTATTCAACATTCAAGACATAATAGTTCAATTTCCATATTCATTCTCCGAGACTCACATAGAGTTAACATTTCATTTTCCATTTTCAAGGTCAACTTTCATAAACTTTTCAAGTCAACAAGTTACACCACTTATTCCCAAAAACACTTTTCCCATTCACAAAATCAATTCCATTCTTTTTATTTTACAAAACCAATTCCATGGATAATAAAAGCCATAATCCAACTCGGTTCAATACATTCATTTCAAAACAACCCCAAAGCCATAGTTAATCCCTTAGGCATTAACACCTTCACCCAACTCATATTAACAATAGTAATTTACAATTATTGTTCAATCAACCTCCCTCTTTAATTTACCAAAGCAAAATATAATTTAGGGCTTTTTCTTCTTTCCACAATAACATGCTAATTTACACTCCAATTAACCCAAAGAACTATCAATGATTAATTAATCATTCTCAAACAACCAACCCTAGGTTCCCTCACATGGTTTTCAAAGAAATTCAACATGATATGATTTTCATGCAATACAAAACTACCACATGTCTATCCATAGACGAAGTATTGAAAAAGAACAAGGAGAATCCCTACCTCAAATGGAGAACCCAAGGGGGAGAAGAGCCAAACTCGAAAGTGCTCCAATCCCAAAGTTTTTCGGATCAAAACGAAGCCCACGTAACCCTCTATCTTTCTTACAAAGAGATTAGGGTAGGAACACCCAAGAACTAGATCAATCCCTAGAGAGAAGGTGAGTGTAGAGAGAGAGAGAGTTGAATCTAGGGTTTTGAGACAAAAGGAAAATCAAAAAGTGAAGAAGAAGCTGCTGCTGCGAACTGATATATACGTTCCTCGCTCGAGCGCACAAAGCCTCGCTCGAGCGAACAACACGAAGCTTCAGGTCTGCAACCCAGAAGCACGCTCGAGCGAAGAAGCCCAAAACATACAGCTCGCTCGCTCGAGCGAAGAACAGCTCGCTCGAGCCAAGGCTGCGTCTGAACAAAACCTGAAGACACAAAAAGCTCGCTTGAGCGTACAAACCCTCGCTCGAGCGGATAAGCAACAACAGAAGGCTCGCTCGAGCGACAAAGTCCTGGCTCGAGCGAAGAGGCTAAAAACTGGACAGCAACCATATGCTTCCAATCACAACCAACCTGAAACGAACCTGCCCAAAACATCCTATAACTCAAATACAAAGTATTGAAGGACGGAAACAAGCTAAATACAACAACCCACATCTACAGAACCAAGTCCGGAATACAATACTCAATGGAGGAAAAACCGGGATCGCTATATGTTTTGTTAAAAAAATTTGGGAATAAACTTACATGAATTTTATGTTAATTATGCTAAGTTTTGTGACACAACTTACGTGACTTTGTGAAAACTTAAGCAAATTTGTGAATTAAAAGTGTTCTCCAAGGACTTACTCGTATTTGTAATCACTTATGCATTTTTTGGGAAGTCACTTACGTCAGTTGTGAAAACTTATATATTTTTGTATTGTTGAAAATTTTAGGAACAAACTTACGCATCATTTTGTACTAACTATCCTAAGTTTTGTGACACAACTTACGTGATTTTGTGAAAACTTATGCAAATTTATAAAATAAAAGTGTTCTCCAAGGACTTACTCATATTTGTGATCACTTACGCATTTTTTGAAATCATTTACGTCAGTTGTAAAAACTTATGCCTTTTTGTGTTGTTGAAAATTTGTAGGAACAAACTTATGCATCATTTTGTATTAACCCTCCTGAGTTTTGTGACACACAACTTACGTGACTTTGTGAAAACTTACGCAAATTTGTGAACTAAAAGTATTCTCCAAAGACTTACTCATATTAGTGATCACTTATACATTTTTGTGAAATCACTTAAGTCAATTATGAAAACTTATGCATTTTTGTTTTGTTGAAATTTTTTGGAAATAAACTAAAGCGAATTTTGTATTAATTACCCTGAGTTTTGTGACACAACTTATGCAACTTTGTGAAAATTTACACAAATTTCTGAAATAAAATTATTCTCCAAAGACTTGCTCATATTCGTGATCACTTGCGTATTTTTTGAGAAATCACTTACGTCAGTTACGTATTTTTATGTCGTTAAAAATTTTTTAGGAACAAACTTACGCATCATTTTGTGTTAACCATCCTGAGTTTTGTGACATGACTTACGTGATTTTGTGAAACCTTACGCAAATTTGTGAAATAAAAGTGTTCTCCAAGAACTTACTCGTATTTGTGATCACTTATATATTTTTTTAGGAAATCACTTATGTCAGTTGTGAAAACTTATGCATTTTTGTGTTGTTGAAAATTTGTACAAATAAACTTATGTGAATTCTGTGTTAACTACCCTGAGTTTTGTAACATAACTTATGTGATTTTGTGAAAATTTTCGCAAATTTCTGAAATAAAAGTGTTCTCTAAGGACTTACTCGTATTTGTGATCACTTGCACATATTTTGGGAAATCACTTACGTCAGTTGTGAAAACTTACGCATTTTTGTGTTGTTGAAAATTTTTAGGAACAAACTTATGCATCATTTTGTATTAACTATCCTGAGTTTTGTGACACGACTTACGCGATTTTATAAAAACTTACAAAAAATTGTGAAATAAAAGTGTTCTCCAAGGACTTGCTCGAATTTGAAATCATTTACACATTTTAAAATCACTTATGTCAGTTACGAAAACTTAATTATTTTTGTGTTGTTGAAAATTTGTAAGAACAAACTTATGCTTCATTTTATGTTAACTACCTTAAGTTTTGTAATACAACTTATGTGACTTTGTGATTTTATGAAATAAAAGTGTTC